AAAATGTGTGATGCTAACCTAAACTAATCTTTTAGAATTAAATGCAGAGAACCAGTTAACAAAAAAACAACAAAAAAAAAGGTTTATTACTGTATTTTGGTCTCCTGATGTTAGGACCTTTGCTGACGTGTCCTGCAGGAACCTCCCTTCCTCACAGAGATTGAGGGAGGTCTGCAGGTCAGCAGTTCGTCAGTAATGGCTATCTTTACATATCAACTTTAATTATTAAGGCTTAGTGATAGTTAAAAAAAAAACATGCTGAAATTAAAATCATCTAACCATTCTCTAACAGAAGCAAATACATAAAATAACTTTAACTGTATTTTACCTTATATAAAGTATACTTGTCATGAGCGAAACTGTTGGCTGGGTCTTTCGGGCAAAGCTAGTGGTCTGGCAGTTATGCTGATCTACTGACTTTAATGATTCCTGAGTCTATGATCCAAACTTGAGCATGCTGATGGTAAATGTCAGAAAAAAGTTACTTATTCTAGATGCAAAATACAAAGTATTGAGACAAGATAGTAAGCATAACAACCGGGCAACTAGCAGTTTTGGACAGGGAGGTGTGAAACAGCAACTTATCTCTTCTGATACCTCATAGAGCATTGTATGACTTACATACCTGAGACCTACCCTATCTATCATCAGCCTCCCATACTAGTGCCCTTTCATTATCCTGCAGCTTTTTACAAGAGAATGGTGGTCCTCACTTTGTATGAGAGATAAATGAGACAAGGATATGATATATTATTCTGGGATACTTACCTTGATAATTGGTTCTGATTAAGTAGAGGCTGTTCAGTGAAACACATTAAAGGGTCTATTTATAAACAACTGTCAGCGTCACTTATCCTGTGAATGTTCACTCTATGTGAATGGAGGCAAAAACAAATATTCTTAGTATATTTTTTTCAGGTCCAATGTAATATTTAGAAAACACTGCATTATAGCCCCTAGATGGAGCTGCGGAACATGGGAAAGAAGAAATTATATCCCATGCGCCATCTAATTTTGTTTGTGTTCAGCAGTCCAGCTACTTGGCTAAACCAGTTAGAGTCACAAAAGAACTGTGCAGGAAGCCGAATTAAATAAAGTGCCGTTTGAAACTTTGTGCATCGATATTGTTGTTAGTCTGATGTATCGGAAGTGAGGTAAAAGGCCTCTACTTTCATATATGAGACTGACTAGGTTTTGCCACAATAAATGTCAATCACTTACAAAAGGTGGAAATGGACTTTAAGTATTTGATAACTTTAAAAGTGTCCTCTCTCACAGCAGGATTAAGCAGGCTTAAATGTTTTACTTCTTAGCACATATTCAATGTAATGTATACTGTATCTCACAGGAAGTCTAAGCAATGAATATATGAACATAAAATATTGCTCACACATGCTGATATGAATTTACCATTAATTTAATTTGCTATTATTAGTGTATCGATAGCCTGCAGGCACCTCCCTCCATGGCATGCAGGCTATAGTGCCCATAGAAAAAGGTCCACAAATATGTGGGTCTCTGATTAAGTATATTACAATCAATAGGATATTTTTAATTGGACCCTTGAAGATAAAGCCAGCATTTACAATCAAAACACCAGCCCTAAAGAGTCAAGAAAGAAACATAATAAAAAGGCTTACCCATTTATCCAAAGTCAAGTTAAAGTGAAAAAGTAAACACGGGCAAAAAAGCATACTAACTTTATTCTAAATACAAATGAACAAAGTCTTTTCTCATTCACCCAAAGAACATTTTGTATTTTCTTTGTCCCATGTTGGGTCTCCTATCCAATAAAAAAATAACTAGTCTAAGGTTAAAATCAGGGAACTGCCATAAACCAATGAGAACACAGAAACAGGAGAATCATTCTCAAATAATCCCTCACTTCAGGTAAAAGGATAAACCTCTAGGAGACCAGTGAAGATCAGTGGGACAAATGTAGCCCTAGACAGGAGACTTGCCATAAGATGGGCAAGATAATGAGTTCAAAGGCTAAAATATATTTTTGAATAAGTTATTCAGTTAGAATAAATTCTGCAAGTGTTGTGGTTTTTCTGGGTAAGGAGGCTAAAATCGGTCAACCTACTTATTTACCAGTTCAGGGCAGGGGTCAAGAACATTCCTGCATGCGTGCTGCCCTCTTGAAATAAGACAACTAGTGTGCCTACTTTTTTGAAAAGTTGTTATTGTTTTTGTTTGTGGACTACAAACTGACATTCCAGCATGTATTAGTTAATAGCTATCATCATCATAAAATATGTAGTCCAGGATAAACTGGCCACATAATTGAGAACACATGCACCTGTGACTATGGAAAGGTGCACAATGTGGAAGTCAGATAAGCACAATGCAAGCAGTTCATGGGGCAAAAAAGTAAGTTTAATAGAATATATTAAAAAAACACAGGTATCTACCTATTAGAGACACCAATACATGCATACATATACTGTATGTATATATATATATATATAACCAGATCCTTCGGCAGCTTTGTGAATAGACCCCAGTGTCTTATTTTCGGGGAAACAATATATATATATATACTGTATATACATACCTTTTTTGAAAGACATTAATTACACTTTAAATAGCTGCAACTATGGTAAATTGGGGGAGCTTTATCCTTCACCCATAATGCATCAACCTTCATACAGATTCATTATACTACAGGGAGTGTGGGATTCTAGCCTGTTCATTAAAAAAAGAAATACTATCAAATGTTTGTTTTGAACGGCCCAGTGCCTATCCACTGGTGTATAATGTTGGGGAGGTAATTTTTTAGGTAATTACCCTCTTCAAACATCTATGCAATGCTAATGGACATATGGGATAGTACTAACATTCAAGGATCGTATTTTTCCTTTTTTTTAACAGTTTGAACATATGTCTGGGAAGGGGCTCAAATGATCTCTGTATCATTTTGAAATGAAAACATACAGTGAGTACCTTTAAAGAGTCAAGCAGGTTGTAGACAGCAGGGTTAGGGAAGAGTCATAGGTCTGGTGTGCTGAAATTATGTAGAATAATAAAGCGCTTTTATATATAAAAAAAGGTTTTACTAATGTTTGGAAAAGGCTAATTACTGGTTCCAAAGCCACAAATATCTGGTTGCAGGAGGTTTCACTGGTTTGCATTTGTTTTTATCTTTTTGCTGCTGTGGGTCTGTTGTCACATATGGTTCTACAACCATTTGCTCTTCTAATTGCTGCATTGCTCTACAAGCATTTCCTCTGCTCTAGCAGCTATGTGTGTCGTCCGCTTCACCTGATAGTTAATATACCTTACTTCCTGTCCTGCCTCTTATCTCTCTCCCGATTTAAATCCTGCTAAGACCAGCTTCTGTTTTTTTTAACAACACTTTGTTTACGAGCCCCTTCTGTGTGTTTATCCTGACGTGACTTCCCATGGACTGATCTCTTGTGTACCCACTCTCTCGTGTATGGTATAGTTCTCCTGATTATGTTTGTCTGCTGCCCACCCTGACCTTTGACCCATTATCTGTATCTCCTTTTGCTCTGCCACGTTTCTGCCCTAGCCAGGACTGCCTGGGATGTAGCTTCCTTCTCTGCTTTCAATGTGTACAGTTACTCCCCACACACGAGCAGGATGAACCCGGGGGTCACGACCTGGGGTCAGCACGCTGCTAAGTCTATACTTCTGTGAGGATGTCCCTGGAGGAACACTGACTGGCTTAGACTCCACTCCACTCCCTGGGCGATCCCATGCTACCTGCTCGCTTGTGGGCTCACATCTCTAGTACCGTGATATACAGTATAATTCCATACAATTGTGATCTCATATGACTCATTTATTCTGTATACTACTCTCGAATATGATCACGCCAAAATGAAAAAAGATAGATGGATGGATAGATAGATAGACATACCTACTAATGTATAATATAAAACATTGTTTTAATAAGACCTGTTAACATCAAATGCAGTACATTGCAGTACATAAATAAAAACTAAATCCTGCATGCTGTATATTGGATCAAAGTCAAAGCAAATTAAGTCTTAGCTGCAATGCAATGTAAGGTTACTAAAATGCAACATGAGTCTAAAATGCAGTTTTGGTGTGAACCTAAATCAGTATCCGTGTAGTTTGCTTTTTTTCAACAAATGAGCATGTTATAATTAATCACCAAACTAGCTCTTGCTAATGGGGTAACACCCTTGCAAGCTGGCGCTATTTGGTAAAGTTGATGTTACTACCAAACATCTAATTTTGCACACAAATGAGCACACAAAAAAAACACCTTTTGGTTTAATCAATGTAGATCATAAATATCTAGCATACAGAATAGCCAAATTTCTTACATGAAAAAAAAAGATATGTGCTGGGATATTAGAGTACAGCCTAAAAAAAGAGCAATTTCTGACGCACTCATTATTTAACAGTTGAGATGATGCCAGTAGTGCCATTTACTTACAATTCCAGAGTACTCCTGCTAATTTATGCTCATTAAGATAGATGTTGCCTATCGCAGCTTTCTGAAACTTGCATTAGTCTGTTGTGTGAAGACTTGAAATTGTTACAAGACTGTAGGTATCCGCAACTGATATGGGTAGCAAGAAAAAGTACCTAGGAGCAGTCATATCACATACTATTACAAGCCACAGAGCCCGAAAATGTGTTTCTTACTGTCTGTCATGTTTTGCTGAACTGGTGTTAACTATTGATGACCTTTTGGGCAGATATATTTGGTTTTCCCATGATTAGGACATTAATACTGATTGCAATGCTATTCTTCTGAGCAAAAAGTTTAGACAAAGAAAGAACAGTTTGGCTAAAATCTAATTGTCTTACAAATATGTTTTTTTGATAGTGTATAGAAACCAGAAGAAGTAGAAGAAATTCACAGAAAACATGGAAACTCTGTGTAGATAGTATCCATATTGAATAAAACCCAGTACCTACTGCTGCCAGAATTAAATGCTTCCCTTTGACATCATTAAAACAATGCATAAAATGTGCAGGGAAACACAAATGTTACTCACAACTTTCGATCTCTAAAGTACAGTTCTGTTCATCCAGCGGATATCTTCTGAGATCCATCATGCATGCTGCTGTGGTTGTAATCCTAGAAAAAAGAATGACAGTTGCCTTCAATTACAGTGATCAATTTTTTAATATTATAGCTGAACCCTATCCAATTTGACATACAATGTTCATCTTCATAAATCTTGTGCTGGATGCAGTAAGTTAGAACCCTAATGACTCTGCTGACATAAAGTCATTTGGTCAATACAAACACATTATTTCCAACCAGGTCAACATGACCTATACTTGACACTCATTATGTGGTCGTAGAATAAGTAACAAGCTAAAGTGAAACCTTTAAGACATGACAATGATACATTTTTAACAGGGAATAATTGAGGTTTATGGTGTACTTTTGAAAAGTTGACTATATAATAGATGTGTTCATTTAAGGCTTATTCAATGATGTTTGAAGACACTGATTGCTCCAAGAACAAAAGGCATTACAAAAGATAATAGAGCTCTTTTCAGTGTGTGTGTTCAGTTAAAGGATAGGAAAATTTAATTTTTGCCATTTGATGTCAAGACCTAAGAATAGATCAGTTAATTTCCCTTTAGTAGAATTTTTTTTTTCTAAAGCGTGTTGGTGTTATTTAAGCTATTTACCATTTAGATATTGGATGTTGCGTATGGTACAGCCATAGTTTGGCCAGAATAAGATGTTCTTTAAGCACTGGCACACACTCATTTGTGGCATCTTCTTAATAATAAAGGCAGAAATAACTTTAAGTTGCAGTATTGCACTTTGTGGCATGTGTTCGGAGCAGTGGGAAGGGCTACTTACAGAACTAATATAAAGAAGGGGAAGCCCATCATTAACTGGATCAGATTGCATGAGTTTTCATTTTTGAGATTGCAAACAATATGTAGTAGCTACAGACTAGTCAGGGTGCTTATGCTGACCTGTGTCCACCGCTAAAAGCACCTACAATGGGCACATAAGCATCAGAACAGGACCATAGAGCAATTGAAGAAGGTGGCCTAGTGTGATGAATTACATTTTCTTTTAAATCATGTGGATGGCTGGGTGTGTGCGCATTACTTACCTGGGGAAGAGGTGGCACCTGGATGCCTTATGGGAACAAGGCATGCTGGTGGAGGCAGTGTGATGCTTTGGGCAATGTTCTACTGGGAACTTTGGGTCTTGCCATTCATGTAGATGTTACTTAGACACATACCACCTATCAAAACACTTTTGCTGAACAGGTACACCCCTGGTGGCAGTGGCCTCTTTTTGCAGGATAATGCACTCTGCCACATTGCAAAAATGGTTCAAGAATGGTTTGAGGAATACAACAATAAGTTTGAGGTGTTGACTTGACCTCCAAACTCTCCAGAACTCAACCTCATAGAGCATCTGTGGGACGGGCTGTATGAACAAGTCCGAGGCCGAGGCCCCACCTCGCAACTTGCAGTACTTAAAGGATCTGCTACTGACAGCTTGGTGTTAGACACTAAAGCTTACCTTCAGAGACCTAGTAAAGTCCATGCATTGACTTTTTGAAGCAAAAGGGGGACTAACTCAATATTAGGCAAGTGGTCCTGTTTTGGCTGATCAGTGTGTGTGTGTATATTGTACAGGATACCAGAAGATAGGTCAAGGGGGAGGTCTGCATTTTACTCTGTTTAAGATACAGATCTGGGTTAACACCTGCTACAGAAAGTAGGAAGCAAGAGACAGCGAGTGAGGGAGAAGTACTGTAATGTGTGCATATCAGACTGTGAAGCTGATTAAGGTGCTGGTGCCGTAAAACAGCCAAACTTTACTCGGAGCCTTGCGATCTGAGAGAGACTTTCAGGTTAAGATTGTGATAACCTTTGTGGACTGAAGCCATCAAAGCCAGGGAGGCTGTCATTATTATTTCTGTGCTGAAGAAAGCAAACTGTAAAGTTTATCATTTTTATAAATTTATATTTTTTTTTACACAAAAATAAAAATTAAAGCAAACCAGATAACCAAAGCTTGAAATAATTTCTGTCCTTTCTAACTGAATGAAAGATGAACTTTTAAGTCAAGAATAACTTGCATCGCTTTTAGATACATAAAATTAAAACTAGCACTCACTAATTTGCAAGATGAAAACTGATTAACTGTGCATAATTTACTTTGATGAATGCTCCATTATTTAAGCTGCGTGCTACCAAACTGCATGTTAATGCTGCATTAAAAAAGCTAACACTACAGAGTGAATCTATTATCAAACTGTAGCAGGTGTTATAAACACAGAAAGCACACTAAGTAAACTTTGTTATTCAAAATGTTCCCTGAGATTTCAATCATTCATTAGTACTTTATTTAGTGGCACTTTTTTTGGAACATATGTCTGAAAATTACATGTGACAGTGCAAGATTGGAGATCATGACCTAAAAAAACAAAAACAACTAAGGATAGCCCATATGATAGTGGAACAAGGATATTTGTGCTGTAATCAGGCATGAGCTAACTGATCTACCATGTTAAGTTTCAACCAATTTCAGACCAAGTCATAGCTTATGCTTTTCCATAACAAAATTTTAATCTCATCCACTAATCAGCCATTATTTTTCTTTCTTACTTTTGCTTCAATAAAATAATAATTGAAGAATGTTTTCCTAACTGATGCAAACATCTAAACTCCTACCATAGGGACTAGTATACCTATATCAAATTAAAAACTGGCAGCATCAACTGGTAATTAGTATGGCCTTATTATGAGCAAAGAAACAAAGCTTGTACCACTGAGCATTTACAAATGGAGCTATTTGTGGCGATTTACTTTTTGAGTTTACATTACATTAAAAGTGGTGACAGGCAGACTTATTATGACAGAAGAGGCTGTGAAAATCTCTTCTCTCAGCATTTTTTTTCTTGGTTTCTGTATTCCGAACTGGACTTGCAAGGCTCAGTGCACATTCTCAGCAGAATGCCTTGCCTAGAGGAAGTAACTCCTTTGTGCATGTGGGGGAGTTACATCATCTGGGCCTGGCCAATCATGTGACCAAAGACTTCAAAACTGGGGGCGTGTCCGGCCCGCCGATCGTAATGGCCGCACTGTAGTAGTACTCTGCACTTACCGGTCTCCTCAGCGACAAAAAACACTGCAACAGCGAGCGATCCTAGCTACTACCAGCGGTAATATAGCCTCCTTATCCTGCTCAAAGACATCACATTCTTCTCGCATGTACACTACTCCTACTCTCATCTAGATATGTTTTTTATCGATAAGGCATCGTTACATAGGGTAACCTCCTCTGACATAGGCTTGATCACATGGTCTGACCATGCCCCAGTGTCAATTAGAGTCAAAGATAACAATCCGCCTACTCCTCCGAGATTATGGTGCCTAAACACATTTCTTTTGGCACATCCAGACATTTCTGATAAAATATCTGAAGCCCAAAAACTATATTTTGAAATTAATGATTCCCCAGACACTGATAGATACACTCTATGGAACGCACATAAAGCCTATGTCAGAGGCCTATGTATCAAAATGGGAGCACATATAAAGAAAACACGTTTAAAACAAGTGACGGACCTTCTACACTCTATTAAAAACTTAGAGGACAGGAATAAACTCTCCCCATCACATGCAATAGCAGCCAAGCTAATAGAGGAAAGAAACAGACTTCGTATCCTCCTATTAGATGACAATGAACGTTATATCACAAAACTAAAAGCTGCTTCTTACGCCCTGAATAACAAGGGGAACTCTCATTTGGCAAAACGCGTTAAAAAGCATCACCCCACAACTAACATCCCATTCATGATTGATCCTTCCATAGGAGCGAAGGAATTTAATCCAGCCAAAATGTCCCATCTTTTCCAATCCTATTATCAACATCTTTATAATCTAAATTTAGACCCGACAATACCTCAACCTCAGAGTTTAAACATACAAAACTTTCTAGGTCCACTAACACTACCCCAACTGTCCCCGTCCCACTTAGAGTCCCTCTCAGCTCCCATTTAAAACCATTCGACAGCTTCTTAGTTTTATTTGGCGTGGGAAAACACCTAGATGTGCAGCAACCACACTATTTAAAAGCAAAAAAGCAGGAGGTCTAGCACTACCGAACTTACGATGTTATCACCAGGCAGCCCTGATCGACCAAATCCAACATTGGCAAAACCCGTATACAGATAAACTGTGGGCCCAAATGGAAATGACCCTTCTGGAAACAAAATCTATAAGGGATCTCCTACTTGCACACAAGTTCTCTACTATTAGTAAGGTGCCTGTATACCAGTCCATTGTTGCTTCCCTGAATGTTTGGAAGTTGATTCCCTTATCATCTATATCCTCTTCCCTGAATGCTTCCCTGAATGTTTGGAAGTTGATTCCCTTATCATCTATATCCTCTAAACATCACTTCAAAACATGACGCCATCTATCAAGGTACTACATCATATTCTTCCACACATCACACTGACGACATGGTTAAACCTAGGAATTAATTATTTGGCAGATTTATATGTTGATGACACCCTCAAGACTCTAGAACAATTGTCAGCCCAATATCGCCTACCTATAACTGAATATTACCGCTATTATCAAGTGACTCATTTCCTCAACAAATATTCCTTTCCGACTAAGATAACTATTGATGATAAACTTTATCAACTCCTCTTTACCTCATCCTATTCCAAAAAAGGAATAACCACCCTTTACTCCTATCTGGGTAACACTGAACACTTTTCCAAGTCGCCTCAGATGCTTAAATGGGAACATGATCTCGGCATTAGCATATCAGAATCCCAATGGAAAAAAGCGTTCCAAGTTTCTTACTGCACATCCGTGTGTGCTACACATTGGGAGAACTTCTATAAAATAGTTAATAGATGGTACCATACTCCTTATAAATTATCTAAATTTTCGAATCAGAACTCACCACTGTGCTGGAGAATGTGTGGTGAAATAGGATCCCTCCCTCATATTTTCTGGTTTTGCAAATCACTTCGCTCATTTTGGAATCAAATTTTTCATCTCATCTCACAATTTACAACCAATCCAATTGACCCATCTATCACCTTTGCACTTTTACACATTGACATAGAT